GGGCGGCAAGTTCTTTTGAGTTTTAGTTATTTTAATGTTAGTTGTATGTGTAGAATTTTTGTGAGGGTTAGATTTGTTTGGATCCCTTTTTTTGGAAGAATTCTCTATGTATATATTTCTTTTGAAAGATGAATGAAAAAAATAAAAATTCTACTTGGATTTACTTTAGTGGCTCTTTCATTTTATAGTTGAAGATGTTTGGTTTATGTTAAATGATTTGATGTTATGCTTTGAAAGTTTATTTTCATCCTGTCTGACATTTGTTCTCTCCTCGCCCTTGCGAGCTAACCAGGCCGGGTCGTGACAAAGAGTGATATCAGAGCCAAGTTTTGAGGATATTAATTTTTATGAATGAGCCAATAGGATGATCGTATAGGTTATAGTAGGTATAAGGTGCTTGTGCTATTTATTGCTTAGATTGCTTTGTTGCTTTATGTCTGAGGGCTGATGAACCTTAACCTGATGCCACTGATGTGATGCTATAAAGAATTTCTATACTTTTTATTTTATTTGAACAATAGTATATTTTGTTTTCTATTTTATTTTATTTTCCTTTTTAGCTATCCAATGATGGGAAAGCATCCAATGATCATTGTAGGTTGTGCATAGAGCTTGGTAAACCTTTGGTTTGCTCGCTTGATTGGTACATTTGCTACTGCTGGTTCACGGGTTGGTTGGAGGAGGTTTGGTTTGAGTTCATTCTTTTAGTTGCTTGAGCTGAAGTTTAGTAGCTCATTAATGTCCAAAAAGTAGCTCATTAAGAAGGATTCAATGATGGGGTGGACTTGTCCCTTCTCTTTCCCCTTTCTTTATTGCAAATCTACTTTTAATGGCTTATATTTTGATGATTGACAAACACTATTTCTCTTGGACTACTTGTTGCTTCTAACTTTTCAGGAATCGAAGATCGAATGATCAATAAGGAGCCAAGTTCAAGATTGCGTAGGTTTATGGTTGAGTCAGTCTGTACGTTTGATTTTCACCTTTTGAGTCTACTTGTAATGGTCAAAGAGACTGATGCTAAGTAACCATACACACACACACTTAAGAGACTTAGAATTTCTGTTTTTGCCCACATCAGCCCGGCCAATATTTATATCGTCCGGGACGATAAGCTTAAAACAGAAAGTCTAAGTAATGATTCTTAATTAAGGCAGCCGTCATTAACATATCGTCCTGGACGATACGTGTATCGGCCAGGACGATAAGCTCAAAACAGAAATAAGTGGTCGCCATAGTCAAAAACCTTAAGTTACTTCAGGACGATAAGTATCGGCCAGCCCGTATCCAGGGCTATTGTCAGGACGATTTTCCTATGATTTGAACTGATCGGCCAGGACGATCGTGAGATCGGCCTGGACGATTAAGCCAATTTTCAATCGTCCATCTTTGCATCCAGGGCTATGCTCTGGCTGATTTTCATTGATTTGTACTGATCGGCCAGGCTGATGTCCATATCGGCCTGGACGATATTGTCGGCAACTTACAATTAATGAGCTCCTTTGAAGCCCTTCTATTTAAGAGCTCTTGTTCAACATTTTAAAGACCTTTGGCTGCTGCATTGACCTGAGAAGACGTTGAGGAGAGAAAGAGAGAGAGGAGAGAGAGAGGATT